TTGTTGGGTTTTTTTCTCTGTATCTATGAAGCGCCTTGAGGCGACTTATGTTGTGATTTGGCGCTATATAAATAAAATTGAATTGAATTGAATTGAATTTTACCGTCGTTGTTGCTAACGACAACTCATAAAAACATGCGCTTGTCCGTCTTTAGTGTGGTTATATAAAATATATAAGAAAGAGAGAACTTTAAGAAATTAATATAGCCACTACAGTGACCATCAAAACAATGAAAAAAATATTGCCGTAAAGAGTTTATTTTGCGACAACACGAAACAAACGATAGCGTAAAATGAAACGATAGACGTTTTTATATCGTCATCCGATATATATCGTTATATCGAACAGCCCTAACAGACACATCCAAATATTTTTCTTTTTACCCACCATGGTTACATTTTTTTTTTTCACATCTTTATCTATCAAAACAAAAAACAGGACTTTATCCTTTTACTTCTAACCTTGTGGCTACTTCTTTCTTTCTAGCGTATCCAAGAAAACTTGTTGCATCCATGTTTTAATGCAGAGGGAAACATTAGTCTGGTAATGTTTTGTAATTTATGATTTATAGCCAAGTACTGTATATCTCCCAATCTCACATTTAATCATTACGTTTTGTATTCCTTTCGTTTTCTTTCAGAGGAGTCCAGGTCCCATGATGGAGTACTTGGTGTATCTTAATAGCCAGCATTATGGGGCAGATTGTCCCAGTAACGGACCTGCCAGCCCCTCTGTCTCTCCAGTAGGCAACTGGCCTCGTCACTCTACACCCATTCCTAGTTCACTGACAGCTATTTCTACTACTGTTAGCTCCACGATGACTAGCTTCATGACTGATTCATGTAGTCCCATTGGTTTTATATGTGGTGTCACTACTTCAGCCACAGACCCTCTAATGTCCACCCCCAAGAGTCTCTGCTGCTCTGACCAGGATCCTGCCAGTGCTGCAGCTTACCTTCACCTCCTGGGAGAATCGTTATCCCTGATTGGACACCATCTCCAGGAGACAGATGTGAGTAGATTCAATTGAAAAAAATCTTTTTATAAGACACTTAATGTCTTTTGTTCATCTCTCACATGTATTCTTCATCTTGCTTGTATAAATTCAGAAACGAGGGGTAATAGTGGTCCCAGAACTACTTTATATCGTTGCTAATCAGAAGAAAACATAGAAGAGATTTTGATCTTAAACAGATACTGTGAAGGCCTCGATAGTTGGAGTGTATCCCAAGATAGTTGGTGGGAGTTGAAACATTATACAGTCCTACAACGTGGTGCTTTCTTTATCTTTTTCTGTCTATATTCCAAACTGGTTCACAGAGGCCTGTTTTCACAAAGCGAGTTTAACATAGCCAAGCTATCTTTCCCTTATCTAGATTAACTTGTTTTAACATTGGCAATCAGGATAAACGGTCACATGAGGCTGGTTATCAACTTGTTACGCTAACCTAGGGTGAAAAATGTTGGCAGTCTCTAACCAGTCACTATTATAGATAAGTGTACTGTCAGCAGAGTGACTCATTTTACAAAGGAAGATGAAACAATAGTGTGCGAAAAAATATCAAGAGGTTAAACTGACTGAAAAGCAATAAAGCTGCTACAGACGAAGCAGTGCTCTAAGAGAGTGTGTGTGTGTGTGTGTGTGTGTGTGTGTGTGTGTGTGTGTGTGTGTGTTTGGGGGGTGGTCATGTAGTATTAAAAGTTTGCTCATTACACGGTTTTATTAAGACTACTGGAAAGCATGCAACTTATTCATTGCACTATAGGGTGATACAGGGCTCTCTGTGCATCTCTGCAGAAAATGGTGTGCATGTCGAGTAGTTTGTCTCTACTCTTGGACTCTCTATTGTGTGCTATGGCTCCACTTACCGGCCTCACTATGCACATACCAGAGCTGAGGAGCTGCACACAACACACACTGGTAAGCATTGCTGCCAATTTATGGTGCATACACATCATATCCTTTACATGTTGTTATGTGTACATGCTTTCACCTTGGTGAAATTATTGTAGTGAACTTCCAGTATGTTGTTTGTTAAAGGAAAAACGCCTGCAGATTTATGCTTTACTTTGTTGACACAATGCCGCTGTTATGAATGAAACTTGTGGTATTGACAAAGTCCAATAACTGTAGCGGTACTTATCCTGTCAGTGCTTATTGTTCAGCATTGATTTATTTGTTGTTCCACTAATCAAAGCTGCTGTCAAAATGTACTGTTTGTACTATAATACCTATTCTAAACATCTTGAATTTGCACCTAACAAATGCCATTTAAGCCAAAGAGAAATATTTATCCAGGAGAGATTTAATCAAAAAAGGGAAAAACTCATTTCAAAAGGTTAAAAATAATACCAAGGAATAAAACGCAAATGTTTACAAACAACTGAAGCTACAGTGTAAGCATTGTAACCCATTCCATAGACTCAACAAAACTAAACAAGTTTGCGGTAATTTTATTGTTTTATTTGGACATGTGCTCCTAAATGCACTTTATTATTATATCGTTGCAATCAGCATTTTTGCTTCCTCTTTCCTTGATTTTCTTTCCTTTGTGAATGCTTTTCTTGTTTGTTTAAAGGCCTCCACCTTGGATAACATTGCGTATGTGATGCCTGGCCTGTGAGTAAAAGGAGACCCCTACTGGCTCTACACAGCAATGATAACCTGAAAAAAATTTTCTGGTAGTTGATACTTGAAAAGTAAGAGTTTTGTGTTATGAGAATTTGCCTGCACTTTGAACTTTGAAGTGAACTTTTTTTCAGAAGGACATTTTTTTTTTGTTAATTACATATGTTAATTATGTTTAAAATGCAAATTAAATGCCTTGCATTAGATAAGATTTTTGAACACTCTGCTTTTTAAATTAATTGAATAGTGATAGAGATGACTTGTGTACTTGGAAAACATTAGAAGTAGTGGGTAATTCACAGTAGAGATCAGGCATCACATATTTACATTTGCCTGGTAACTCAATAATAAATGTACATGAATACCATCTTATGTTTTGTTTGTACAAAATGGGTATGTATAGTCAACTTAAATATTCTTACAAAATGTTCTTGATGAGATGAGAAAAAGCTGGTTTCTTGAACATGACAATGAATTCATTGTACTCGGATGTCATCCACAGTCACCAGGTCACAATTCAGTAGTCACATCCTGGATGTGCAGCCAACAAATCTGCAGCAGCTGTACAATGCGATCATATCAATATCGACCAGAAACTATGAGAAATATTTCCAGCAACTTGTTGACTCTTTGCCATGCAGAACCAAGGCAAGGGGGTCCAGCCAAGTACTAGCAAGTGGGAATACAAGAAAATATTTGAGGATGAAGCTGTGGGGATGTGTGCAAATCTGTAAATATTACCCAGCTACTTTAATCACAGCCATGAATATATGCTGAAAGAGCAATTTTCTTGTTTTGCAAATTACTGAAAACAGGTTAACATTTGAATCCTTAATGACTAAGTGTTAGTGACATTAATCAAGAGGTCTGTTTGTAATTACTTTGATGTTGAAATGAAACTTAACAGCTCTTACTCATATGGAAGGCCATGAAGGCTTGAAGTTTTATGCTTCAAGATTCTGTAGGAAGAAAAGTTATTTTATTATTATTATTATTTTATTTAAAATTTTCCATTCGTGTAACACACAAAAGAAGCAGAATAATGTTCCTCTTGCATTTATTCTGTCTTTACATTGTAACTTTGTTTGTCTGTGACAAGCCTTCATGCTTTAGTTTCTTTCTGGTTATGACAGCAATATATTTACAGACCTGGTTGACCAGGTAATATCCTTAGCAACTACAAACCATGAAGGACACCTCCTTTAACAGATCTCTATGAGTTTTGACATATCATAGGTGTGGTAGTTAAAACTATCTTGGAACGATTCCCAGTGGCAGCTGGTTATACTGCCTCCACCCCAGGTTGGAATGCTTAGCAACCTACAAACTGAGAAACCTGTTGTATCAAAAAATATATTTACGAGTGCGCTCATGTATGAATGTGTTTAAATTTGGGAGTGGCTCAGGCGAGACACCTCATCTGAGCAGACAGCTTTTGCCAGTCGACTGGGAACTAGCATGTACTGAAGTTGTCTGCGTGAGAAATATAACCCGGTGCCAACCAAAAAAACTCAGTATTGACACAAGACAACACATGAACGCAACTTTGTAGACCTTAAACTCTTGAGTAAGTATTCGTCTTGTTGCTTAAATTGTTGTTGTAAGATTGTTTTGGTGTAAGAGACTTAATTGTTAAATTAGTTAATGTTATGCACTTGTTGATTAATTGCAATCATATTAGGTTTCTTAGTTGTATTACTTTAATTACTGAAATTACATTGAAATTACTACATTGTTGATATATAATGTGTCATATTTGAGGAAATAGGTTGTTAGGTTAGCTCAAACTACATCCAGAAACTCAAACTATTTATTACAGTTTCAGCAATAGATTCACGCCTAATTTAGAATTTGTGCCAAAGCAAGTATACTTATGAAGTACAGCACTATTTGAAATGCTTCATCAACTCTCGTTGCTGTTTGTTCAGTATGGATTTGGTTTGTACCTTTTTGCATATATGAGTCCAGGCAGAATGTTGTTTGACAGGAATGGCAAGGTGTGGTATCAAACGCTGAGATGAAATTGATGTGACCCACAATCATTTCCAGTGAAACTACCAGTGAATTACTTTAGTTTTTGTTCATTCATGCACAACAAGGAACTGTAGGTATCCTGTGTGCAGAGAGACTCGTGTGGGAATAGAGGAGAAAGATTTCAAGTTAAGTTTAAGATGGCATTTTATCCGTTTCTGTTAAGATTGTATGATTACTTGATGCTTAAAATAGTAACTTGACTGATAAAATCTGCCTAGCTGAACCTGCTCAGCTGATCCAGTTGTCTGTTTTCCAGGTTTATTTGCATGTAAAGTTATGTGTGAGTTTGTCTAGGCAAAACCTAACAATAAAACCTAGTATTAAAAGACAGCTTTTATTTTGGTTGGTTGGTGTAGCTTCCTACAAATAACGCAGGTGATATACTGTCCTCAATTTCTCTCTTTTGTTTTTTTGGACTCCTTCCTGTTTCCTTTATTCATGTCAGGGATGGGTGAACACTACAGAGAAAGCTACTATGGATCCTCGTCTTCAGACCTGAGATTGCTTCTTTTGGGGAATATCGGATGTGGAAAGACAGCATTAGCGGACACTATCCTGGCCCAGCTTTCCCCCATTTCTCCCGGTGCCTCCAGGAGCTGCCAGCTACGGCAGGGCTTCATTGAAGGCAGGAATGTGACCCTGGTGGAGGCACCGAGATGGTACTGGAGTGGTGGCAAGATGGAGGACGGTGTCAAAAAGGAGACACAGCGAGCAATGACTCTGGTACCACCAGGCTCACATGCTATTTTGCTGCTGGTGCCTGTTAACCAATTCACAGAGGTTAGTCTTGGCTTGCCCGTTAGTGATGTCATCTGTTGCTCAACTTTGTTGAAGTTGCAGTCTGTAATGTGTACTCAATAAAAAAAAATGTCTGTCTATCAAATTACAGTGGAAAAAAATGTGTTCCAAATATACAAGTTACAGATGTTCTGAAACATCTCCATAACAAGCAGTAACCAGTTTAGATCCATTTTTCCTCTTTGCCTTTTCCCCACGCAGGTGGAGACACGTGTGCCTGCAGAGTTGGAGGAATTGTTTGGACAGGAGGTGCTGGACCACACCATGGTCATACTGACCTGTGGGGACTACTTGATGGGAAAAACAGTGGAGGTATGAGAGGTGTTCACCTACCCTCTCTTTAAGCTGATCTTTATAAAGCAGGAAAGTCACTTAGTACCACTATAAAACGGCATAGTTTCACCTATTAACTTACGACCTGGCCCCTTATTTATAAATAAATGTTGTCTCGTGTTGGGTTTTGTAAATATGCTGTCAGTAATATTTTAGATGGTTATCTTATTCTTGGAGTATAACATATAGGAGTGATGCAAATCATTGCAGGTATAAATTCACACAAGCTGCATTGTTTTCTCACAGGAGTACCTGCAGAAAGAGCACCCAGGCCTGAGGCAGGTAATTGAGGGTTGCGGAGGACGGTACCATGTCATCAATAATCGTCAGCGACAGGACAGGGACCAGGTCCGTGAGCTGCTGGAAAAGGTATGAAGTAGGAGTGAAAAACAGTTATCAAAAAGCAACATTCCTCAAAGGGTTTGTCTGATTCAGTAAAAGTGTGAGCGTTCGTGCCCTCACACATTTTATCATTTGGATGAGACTTCCTCATTGCTTAAGTGCATTGAATTTTTTAAATACTCTATAGGTTGGAGCTTTTTGTTTTAATGGTTTCTTTAAGACTACTGAGCAAGTACGCATGCATGCATGCTGTTTTTCCAGGAACGCCTAGTTTCACATCACACCCTGCTGTAGTCTGGACTGGTTTGAATATTAGCGACGATTATGATTGTTTTCTAACTGTGACTCACAAAACAGAGTTAAAGTTCCTGCAATAAGTTACTATTGTTTGTTTATTTATCTACAGGTGGACAATATGGCGCGGAAAAACGGGTTATACTACATGAAAACAGTCCAGGATAGAGAGCTGGAAAAACGGGTGAAAGAAAAAAAGGAGCAACTTATGGAAAGTTTCAGGGTTCAAAAGGAAGAGAAGAAAAAGACCCACACATCATCTTATACCCCAAACACAGAAAGTCAAGAGGAAGAGTACTTCAATGCCATTTCAAGAGAGAGAAGGAGGAGGCAGGAAGAAAAGGAGGGAATGGTGGAAGGAGTTAAGGTGAGCCAGGTGTCCAATGAGTATGTCAGTGCCATATCAACAGAATCAAGGAGGAGAAGAGAAGAAATGGAGGAAATGGTGGAAGGAGTTAAGGTGAGCCAGGTCTCCAGTAGCCTTTATTCAACTCCAGCTCTAGAGCGACAGCCATCCTCCGAGCTCTGTGATACCGGGGAGTTAAAAAGGATACCCAGTTTCAAACTGAATCGAGGTAAATGCCACTAACCGTGTGCTGTCCTCCATTATTGTACCCTGATTCATTCTTTTAGAAGACTTAAAAAAAAAAAAGACAAAAGTGAGCAAAACTTGCTTTTTCCCCACTAGATGGAGCTATACTCTCCCAAATGTCAGAGGATAAATCAACTCAAAAAGTGATCTCTACTTGTAAGTCAAAGGACTTCACTCTCTCATATGTCACTATCAGCACTTCACTTCTTAATACGTCACTGACTCTGATTTTTACCTGATGGTTTCAGTTCACCACAGAATTAACAGCTTTGAAGAGAGATCACCCGAGGTTTCGCCTACCACTACTCCTCTTTCGCCAGTCTTCTCCTCTTCCTTCCCCTCCTCACCAACTTTTGCTGCCTCTCCTTCCTTGATCTCCTCATCCAGCTCAACCCCTTCTTCCCCCTCATTGTCCTCATCCTCATCTTCTCCGGAGCTTCGTCTGGTGTTGCTTGGAAGATCTGGATCAGGGAAGAGTGCAGCTGGCAATGAAATACTGGGGCAGGAAGCCTTTGAGTCACGTCCAGACAGCCTCATAGCAATCACACAATGGTGTGAGAAAAAGAAGGCATTGGTTAAAGGAAGAAGGGTTAGTGTTTTGTTTTTGTTTTTAAGTTACTAAGATGTCTTTTTTTTCTATTTATCTCAACATACACCCATTACAATATCTCAAAGAATAAAGTGTTTCATACTCTCTTCTTGTTTTGTTGCTTTTGATAATAGCTCTTTACATTTTTGCATGCATTTTCTCTGTCACCTGCAGGTGGCAGTGGTGGATACTCCAGACTGGTTCAATTCAGAGCGCACTCCAGATGAGGTGCGAGCTCAGATCTCCTCCTGTGTGGCTCTGTCCAGTCCCGGCCCGCATGTCTTCCTCTTTTGTGTTCCCTTAGACCAGCCTGCAAAGACCGAGCTGCAGGCTCTTGCGTCACTAGAGGCTGTTTTTGGGCCTGAAGCAGTCTGGAGACACACTTTGGTCCTCTTTACTTATGCTGATCGTCTCAGGGCAAGTGGGAAGGCCAAAAATAAGAACATTGAGGCATACATTGCTGGTCAGCGAGGAGATTTGTTAAAGATTGTGGAGAAATGTGGGGACAGATTTCATGTTTTGGAGACAGAAAGAGGTGGGGAAGAGAAGAGCAATGTTGCCGACCTGCTAGAAAAGGTGGAGCAGACAGTGAAGGAGGCCGGGGGGCAGTATTATTCTTGTCCTGCTTTTCAGGAGGCCGAGAACAGAGTGAGGCAGAAACAGCAAGAGATGGCAAGAGAGAAACGAGGTGAAAACCTAGCAAGAGTAGAGGATGTTGGCCCGCTCAGCTCTGAAAGGCGAAAGCTTTATCCTTACATGCAGTCTGTTTCTGAAGTAGACGAGGAAGTGACGGAAGATGATATTGAGAAAACAAGGGATGAGGCCGAGATGAGTGTAAGTACTACAAATATTGAGAGTCTTCCTCCAATTACACTTTCGACCATATCCCCTTCACTACTTAGTTCCATAATGGAGAAGATGAGCACGGGTGCAAAGAATTTACCCAAGCTGTTGGCAGATAGCTCTGTGTGGGTTGGAGAGGGAGCACAGAGGATGAAAGATAGTGGAATGTGGGAAAAAGTTGGCACTAGTGCACAAAGTGTCCAAAAGATGGTGGTTGATAGTTCTGTGTGGGAGAAGGTAGGAGTTACTGCAGGAAATCTCTCCAAAGCAGTAGGAAATAAAGTTCCCAAGGTAGTGGTAGATGGTTCTGCGTGGGTGGGATCTGGAGCAAAAGCAGCGGCTGCAAGTCCAATGTGGGAAAAAGTGGGTTCAGGGGCCAAAGTCATGGCAGAGAGTTCCATGCGTGTCGGGGCTGGAATTGGAGCTGGGGCAAAGAATTTGGCACAGAGTCCCGTGTGGGGAAAAGTAGGCTCTGGAGCCAAGGCAGGGGCCAAAATGGTGGCTGAGAGTTCAGTGTGGGAGAAAATTGGAAATACAGCTAAACAGGTGCCCAAAGTAGTCATTGGCGGGGCACTGCTGGGTCTGGTGCTCGGTGTGCTTTTGGGCGGTGTGATTGGCGGAGCTGTTGGGGCAGCTGCTGGATCTGCAGTAACAGAGGTGGGCAGGCGAAAACTCAGCAAGAGAAGCACAACAGAGAAGACAGAAGACGCTGCAAGAAACGTTGACAGAACAGTAAACAAGAACATCGATGCAGTGAGAAAACGGGGAGAGAATTTTTTGAAAACTGAATGAAGGACTGACAGATGTTTGTATATAAAATGTATAGCAAATGTAAAAGTGCTTTTTTTTTTCTTGTGAAATAATATTTTCAGCTTTTTGACTGCTGTGTAATTTTTGAGGCATAAAATACTTTAAAATGAATTTGATTTGAGACGATTATAACTTCAGTTTATCGCTACATGTTTTATTGAGACACTCGATAAGTACAGACGAGTGTGACATTTATTAATAGATGAGTTACACATATTGATATTGAAGCAATAATATATAAATGAAAATACTTTTCTGAATGTTGATACATGTTTGCAAGACATCAAAATATGCAAAGGAATGATAAAACGTATGACTATTTTTGATAATGTCAAAGGTAGTGATTTAACAAAACGAGTGACTAAAAAGAGTATTAAAATCTGTATATTGATGGAAATTCTGTAAATCATACCCTGAATTGGTCACAGTGTTTTTTGATTAAAAGTTGTCATCAGAAAGTCATTGCATTTTTGTGTGTTTTTGGTGCTGAACCACAGAGCATGAAAAATTCTTTACGAAAATTTTTGATTTAACAACAATAGACAGTTTTTCACTTTTTAACCTTTATATACTGAATTTGGTTTCACGTTTATGAAATCTTTGACAGTATTTTCAGCAAGCGAAACCTGCTTCATGACTACAAACATTATGACATTACTTCTCACGTTCAGGTTTAGGCCGTAATGAATGTGTCAAATTCAGTTCAGTAAGAGATTTTGCATTTGTAATTATTTATTATAGCATCAGAGTATAGTTACTTTGCATCTAGCTTGAGTTCATCCTGCTGCTTTTATAAATTGACAAGTGATATTTTTCTCCCTGTAGCCTACAGGTGGATGCTGGGGGTGGAGAGTTTGAAAAAACAGGCAGCTATGCAGAAGAGCAGAGGTATTGACCGTAAAACGATTTTACCTGTGTAAGACTTAACACAGATCAAATTGTATGCTAGAACTATGAACCCTATTGCAAAAAAAGGGACAGAGTTTAAGATTTAAATTAAAAAAAAAAAAGTTTGGAAATGTTAAACTAAATTTATTCACAACAGAAGGCAGAGAACAAATGGTTAAACTGCAATGTCCAAGTCCTATCTTGTATATAATTTTAGCTTCTCAGCAGTCATGTGTCTTCTTTGTCATATTTTTTGTTTCATTATGTGCCAAATGTGTTTGTGAAAGCACCCAGCCTCTCCTAGTAAATCATGCTGTTGTAACAGATGCTGTATGCATTTATCGCAGCTTGTTGAAATATGCGATGGCTTCCCTGGAAAAAAGATGTCATCTGCATGGAAGCATATATTGTTCTAAAAGCCACGTATACCTTTTAGAAATCAGCCATTTCCGTGCACACTAATGCAACCCCATACCATCAGAGATCCAGGCTGTTGAACTGAGGCCTGATAACAAGCCAGATGGTTCCTCTCCTCTTTGGTCTTGAGGATGTAGCATCCTCAAAAAGAATTTAAAAATAAGATTTGTGTAACCACAGATCAGTTTTCCACTTTGCCTCAGTTTATTTTCAATGAGCTTTGGCCCAGAGAAGATGGCAGTGTTTCTAGATCATGTTTGCATATGTCTCCTCCTTTGCATGATTTAGCTCTAAGCTGCATTGTGGATGGCACAGTGAACTGCGCTCAAAGACGATGGTGTCTCTTCTTGAGCCCATGACAGAGTCATGCCTGTATTTAATGCAGTGCTGCCTGAGAGCCCAAATGTCATGGACATCTAATATTAATTGTTGGCCTTGACAGAGATTTCTCCAGATTCTTAGACTCGTTTGATTCCATGTAGCGTAGATGATCCAAAGTCAAGTTTATGTTGATGAACATTTTTCTGAAATTGTTGTTTGTAGATGCAGTTTTTTGCTGATTAGTAAACATGAGCCCATCTTTGCTTCTGAGAAACTCTGAGAAACAGATGGTGTTTTTATACACATTCATGTAACTGTCCTATTTTCAGTGTTCCTCCAGCAGTGTCTTTTTAGGAATGCTTAATTTTCCAGCCTTTTGTGGCCCCATCCCAGCTTTTTCGGATGTGTTGTGGAGATTAAAATAAGATAATATTTTTCTCAAAATAGTAAAATCTCAGTTTTTTTGATCTGTTTTCTGTTCTCTTGTGAATATGTGTTTATGACATTTGCAAATCACTATTTTTTTGTTTGTTTACATTTTACGCCACATCCCCAAATCTTTTGGAATTGTGTTTATAGTTTGCAGAATTCACTCCGTTTATTGGATTTATTTACGTAAGTGTGTGTGCTTCTGGTCGTAAGAGGGACACAACTGAGGGTGGGAGGAGGAGGTAGGGTGGAGGCACTGGCATTATCTCTAAGTCCCAGGCTGGCTAGCATCACCCTGCGCGGCCTCCTGTATCAGAAGTCGAGAAGGTTGACATCCCAGCAGTTTGAATTACAATTTTGAGGGTTTATTTCCTGAACTGTACTGTGCAGCCATAAAAATATTTTTGAATAAATAACAGTAGTAACAATAGTAATAATACATTTCAACAGTTTGCTTTTTTATCGGGACAAGCTTACAAGATAAAACGGGTTAATGTCTAACCCATAAATCATATATTGTTAAACAACTCAAATAAATCTAGTGTGTTATCCAAAAAATCTTTGAATAATTCAATTTGTACAACTGCAAAGTGACACACAATCTTTAATTTGCATGACCCCTGCTTCACTCTGTAATCCTCTCTGAGGTTTCAGAGTGAAGCAGGGAGGAGAAGGCCCAGCTTAGCACAGCCGAGTGGGCAGATGCAGTCACAGCAATGTTGTGAAAGCAGTTCTTCCTGTTGTATGATCCTGAAACCAAGTGTACAGGGCTTCCCAGGGCACCCTGGTGGCTGTTTTCTCTTTCTTTTCCTCCTCCTATCTTCCCTTCTTCTATGCAGCGGTTGCTACCCCACACATCCAAACACCCATCAAACATGGTACAGTCACACCGCCACCACCCAACCTCCAGGAAACTCGTTGGCCGTAAATGAGACAGCACTAACTGTAAGCGTTTCCTGGCCAATTGATAGACAGACACCCGCACCACGGCAACAGCTGCAAGCCCCCTCCCTCCCGAACACTTTTCACTTTCCTCCACCATTCTGAACCCCATCTTCAACCGCATCCCACATCCACCCTGACTTTCCGCAAACGCAACCACACACGAAAAAATTGTTGCCTTCACAGTTTTTTCCCTTGTTCTTCAACATATAACGCACATACATGCACACACTGTCTTCATTTTAATTCACCACAAATTTGCTTGTGATCACAAATTGTGCCTATAATGTTGTATTGTATTGTCAGACTGGGCATTCATCTGTAAATCCTCCACCAGTATAAAAATGCTTTAAAGTCTGCTTCTTGGGAAAACCTCATTGCCTTGTGGAAAACATTTGTTTTTCGGTTTGCTGGACTTGCTACAGGAATGGCAGGGCAACTGTAGATCCATGTTCTCGCTGTCACGTCACTCACTAGTTTTATTTTTTGACTTGTGTTGTTTATGGCTTCCATGCTGAAACACTATTGTCAGTCATCTGTCATTCTGGTGAACAGCACACGTGAACAGCATGGAGTTGTGCTTTGGCTACTCGCGCTGACAGCTTTGTTATGGACAAACAGAAGGACACATGACTTACGTGCAGATTTTTCAAAATAAAGTTAAAAGAAGCGAACTTCCAATCACCATAAACCATTTTAATCTCATAATCTAGCAGTTTGGTCATTGTGTTCATTTTATGCTACTTACTGGTCAGTTTGAGCATACACAAGTATGCTAAACCGAGAGCGGCAAAACATTTGAATGTGTTGAGAAATCGTGCTGACATAGAGCAGTCTTTGGAGCGCAGTAAGAGGATGTCAAATAAGGAACAGCAAACTAAAACACACTTTATTTCTGTCTCTTACAAGTGTGTCACAATGTCAGGGCGGAACTATCGGCCCTGCTTTTCAGACAATTAGAGCAGCGAGGACATTAAGAAACGGCAACGTCAAATCACCACTGCATGCAATGCATTTCTCTGCAAGTTACCGTAACTGCACTGAGGCAAGGCTGATTATTTACATGTAAACTTCAGAGACTGACAAAATATTTGATTTTCATTGCTTTTTTCTGACAGATCTTCCATTTTTATCCATTTGCTAAGAAGATTTTAAATTCCCCGGATTACCTTTATAAGCACGTGTAATCAGGGCCCTGTTCGTGTCTTTCTTCTTCTACTGTTTTAGTTGTATAATGTTTATTAAAGGATCATTGTTACCATATTTGGATATGAAGCTGGTTTGAGTGTTCTGTTAAGTTTCATGTCTCAGCCTTCCTCAAAGCACAGTTTGGTTTTTCACTAAATGACAGCTTCACAATCAACATTGCCAGAAAAGACAAAGAAGCTCTCAAACCTGCAAAATTCATTTTAAAAAATCCCTCTTTTTTTAAAAACTTATTCACACCTTTCTGCAATTGATCAAACACTTTTGATATCTCCGTCTCGGCCTGGCATTTAAACTCCCAGTGTTTACTGCCTTTTGGTGTCACCGCTCATCATTCGATGCTGCCACCATCCCTATCTGACTCTTGACCTTTCCCAGAATGCCTTGGGTAACCACAGAGGTCTTAGCACCAAAGCTTTCTTCACTGTCTGTGTCTCCATAGCAACTGGACGTTGCTGGGGAATTAACCAGGGCACTGATTGAGTCAGTTGAGTCTCTGTCTCTGTGGGCTAACGCCAAAGCGGGACGGGCTGACGCAGGCAGGGCAGAGTGGGATGGTGGCGGAGTGTCGCACTGAAAATGAGGGTTCAGTTTTTTGCCTGCCAAACCAGGAGCCATGCTCTCATCCTCCACATCATCCTCAGCCGAGTCCCTGCTCTTGTCTTGATCCTGGTCATTGAGCAGTGTGACCAGGAAGTTGATGTACTTCACGGCCAGGCGGAGGATTTCGTTCTTGCTGAGTTTCTTGTCAGGTGGGTGCGTGGGAATGAGTTTCCTCAGCTCCGAGAAAGCCCCGTTGACGTT